ATGGGATAATGTTGGCGTTGTCTTTGTTACATGGAGAATTCTTGCAGTTTTGGGTAACTCTCATAACATTTTGACTTGGCTTGAGAGAAACTGTACCTGGTAATTTTTTTTACCAATTATTGTCTAATCACTTTCTTGATTGTCTTCTTTATCATTATGAGTGAGCATTTATTGCTATGTTTTTGAATTTGTTGCATTGATGGTTTTTCTATTCTTTTTGTGCTATATATGTAGACAATTATGGGTTTGACAGATGAGGTCTCGGGCTCTGCTTCGAGGAAGAGAGTACGTAGGGAGACAGAAAGCTAAAGGATCCGTCAAAGATGCATGGAACTCAGCTGTCGGCGAAGATTGCGGTGACACAACAATGGAAATAATGATGAAGGAGCTAGATCAGTCGGTGGAAACTATGGTTGCAAGCTTGATGACTATGGTTAAAAGTCAATCGAGCCAGGAGCTGAACACATGGGCTCACCGCGTCAAGTGGTAGGCAATATGGAAACAGAGGGTGAGGAGGTTGAGGTGGAACATGAACTCGATGTTATGCTAAAGGAGTTTTAATGCAGAAGCAACGACAATTCATGAGAAGATTCTTAAGCCAGAGAGGAAGAAATTTGTAAAACGGAACATATTGCTTAAGAGGGGTGAGCTAAAGAGGAAGAGGATCTCCGACATAAAGATAGATAGAAAAGAAAACAGACACAAGAATAAGGAGATAACACTTCATAAAATAAGACAACAACGAGGTACTCCCTCAAAAGTATCCTCACGCAAAGCAATACTTAGCAAGAGAGTTCCAAACCCACTATTCGAAGAAACTCTACCCATCTTCTCTTCTCATCCATTTTAGGATATTGGAGAGAAATCATGATCTTCATACGTGGTCCCAAACATAATCTACACTAATTTCTCGAAATAATTTTCTCTCATGTGGTAGACTAACTTAAGCGTTAGAGAATTTTCAAAAGGATCTACCAAAAATCTTCCTTGTGATTATTACCTATGCATGGGTGTTACGCATATCCAAATGATCATTGTGGTTATCTCACTAGAGAGGGTTATTTAGGCAGACACGTCTCTCATCCTCCAAGAAAACAAAACTTCTATCCTGGAGCTCTACGACCATTCACATATGGCACTCCAAAGTTTTATGTAAGACATCTACAATTTCGTACGGAATACCCAATATCCAACCCAAACAATTAGAGTTAAAGAAAGAAAAAACCACGCGCTCTACCTAATAAAAGAGACAAACAATCATAATTTTGTTTTACAAAAAAAAATCTTCATATGTGAAATCTTGTCTGTTTTGTTTAAATTTAAACAGTTAGGTGATACCTCTCAAATATTTTATGTAGAAACAAGCGAAAAAAGTCAAGTGAAATCCAATCGATCAAATTATTTTATGAAATGGCAATGTAGAGAAGATCTTATTGCTGCAAGAGGAAAGACCATGTG